GATTTTTTTTCTTTTGGGTATTATCAAGTGGAACAGCAAGAGAAACCGGAGGTTTGTTTAGAGGCAGTGTTGTTATCGTCCTTAACGAGACTTACCCGGTTCACGGTGAGTTTGTCTTTATAAGTCTCTGAGTTTAGTTGCTTTCGGCTCACGTTGTTGTAGATATCAAGTATGACTTTTTCGAAAGCTGTTCTAACGTTTGTCGAATCGAGAGCCGATGTTTCCACAAAGAAGAGTCCTTCCGCTTCTGCTAGTGCCTTGCCTTCTTCCACGCTCACCGCTCTTATGTTTTCTAGATCCCACTTGTTTCCCACCAGCATTCTAGCCACCGTTGTATCCGAATGAACTGCATAAAAAAAAAAGAGGAAAAAATGAATCGGTTTTAGAGAGAAACAAATGCCAAAACTTACAATGAGCGATGCATTTACATAGAAACAAACAAATTGAAGAGATGTATAAAACGAAGTTTGGCATATCAATCGATGATCGAATGAATCAATAATTGTAAGAATTAGGCCATTTAGTGTTGTACATGCGGATAACGAGAATCAAGAGGGAGTAAAGGAAAACACTAAACATCATTTCATAGGCCAATGGTCTTATGAAATGGCGGCACTTTTTAAGAACAATCTAGTGTTGTATCCTACCAGAATCTATCTATACCGCAACCGCAAGAATTACAAATATAGAATCCTGAAAAATGAGAATATATGAGCCTCAAAATTAGTTTTCAAGTCACAAAGTTCTAGAGATGTAACAGGACTAATAATCGTGATTAATTATCATTTCACCATCCTACACAGAGCACAATCTACCAAGTCAGAATTCTCAGAACAAGAAAATCAATTTGAAATTCCCAATTCTAGCCAACACATACGACCTAATTGACCCGGATTATCCCCTAATTCGATCATCCCGATTCATGATTTCTACAAATCAAATCTACAATCCTTCAAAAATCACATTCAGAAACAGAACAAGGACTTACTCTTAAGCTCGTCGAGCCAACGACCGACGCTCTCGAAGGTAGTGCGGCGAGTAATGTCGTAAACGACGAGCGCACCGACTGCGCCACGGTAATAAGCAGAGGTAACGGCACGGAACCGTTCCTGACCAGCAGTATCCCAAATCTGAGCTTTAACCTCTTTACCTTCAATCTCCATACTCTGTGTCTGAAACTCGACACCGATCGTCGCCTTTGAATGAGCGCTAAACTCGTTACGAGCGTACCGAGAGAGAAGGTTCGATTTACCGACGGCTGAATCGCCGATGACTACTATCTTGAAGAGATATTCTTCTCTTCCTTCGTCGTCCGAAGACATGGTGTTTTGCTC